CCACAAAACCCCAAAACCCCAAAACCCCAAAACCCCTAACATTTGGGCGAAGTTGAAGATTCACTATTGGTATATAAAATTCTACAATTGAAATCTAAAATCCAAAGAGAAGGTAGTCTATTGAGAAAGCAAATTTGGTTGAGTTTTATCAATAAAATCTCTAATCTGGTAGTGTGATAGTCTTTGGCATTATAACAATCTCTACACTTGCTGCCAATTTGTGATACCCCTGCTATTAAATTTCCTCTTTTCCTTTAGGCTCTTCTGCATTGGAATGCCCTCCAAAGAAGTCCTTTATCTGCTTATAAGTCTCATTGAACAAGAAAATGTCCCCTTGAATTGACTTCTGGAAATGGACACATGAAATGCCTTCTTGGTCAGTCTGGAGTACGCTTGCACAAATGTTCACTGGGATGTCATCCTTCACAACTTTGAAGTCGACCTTGTATCACGTAGCTAAGAAAGAAATTTTGATCAGGACGAAAATTTGGGAATCGGATGAAATAGTTGACAAACTTACCTGAAATTTCGTATTCAGTTGATAATTTTGCAACGGAGCTTAATAGAACCAAGAACAATTCCTCCACCGGAGAAGAAGAGAAGAACTGAGACAATGTACTAAACATTGGATGATATATTTCACATTCTCTTGTGGTATGATAAAGATCATCACATTTAAATTGTGTCTAAGTGTTTGAAAACTATATCAACTGAGTTTAAATTTGGTAGTAATCAAAAAAAATTGATTGGCAAAATATTCAAGCTTATAATTTTGTATTTAAAATTTTATTCCAATTCTGTCATTCTTTGCTTTCTGAACTTACCAAGCTCTGCCTCTTCCTCCTTGGTTTCTTCAGAACCTCTATGGACGATAGAGTTCTGGTAAATCTCAGGTCCTACTACTACTTCTGGGAGCTCCTGGTCCTTCCTCATCTTTTCTTCTTGTATAATTTGCTTTCTCTTTTTGAATTCTTCTTTGACTTCCTGTTTAGAGGGGATCGGTAGATTGAACCATTCATGACTCTTTATTTCAGCCAAACTTGGTCGAGTCACTGGGTCTAACTGCAACATCTGAGTGATCAAGTCTCTGAACGATTCTGAAAAGTAGTCCAAACCTGATGGCTTTCTCTTAGTATGATATTTCCAAAATAAGTCACTCCTGTTGGATACCAAAACCTAGGCTATGGTCAGTAAGAAGGTGGTTGATAATGGGTTACGAAACCATCAGAATTTAACGAAAGAAAATTCAGTTGATGGATCAATTTCCCGACTGAAAATCACTTACCTTATAGTACTTATCTTGTGTGTCTGGCATTGAGAATGGAGGATGCTTAGCCACCATTGTAAATAGCAAAATCCCTAGCGAGAAGATATCAGCAGGGTAGGGAGAATATGTCTCCTGCATTTTTATCTCTGGAGCCATATAATTCAATGTACCTGCGTTGGAAGTATTCCTTGCCTGCCTTGATGCCCAGCCAAAGTCTGAGACTTTGATATTGAACTCAGAGTCAAATAAAAGATTTTCAGGTTTCAAATCCCGATGAGTAATTCCTTTCTGGTTCATATAATCAAAGGCCTCAACCATTTGATGAAGATAATACCTGACAAGTTCTTCTGAGAAGGGATTTGTCTGTAAAATATAATCAAAGAGATCCCCCTCATGGGCTAGTTCAAGAGCCATGAATCACACATCGTATGCAGCTCCTGTGTTGCGCTTATAAACAGCATTCATATTGGAGTCGACCAAGTTCAGGATATAATTATGATGTAAATCTTTCATTGTATCTATCTCCTTTTGTATATATGCTTCAAATTCTTCATTAAAGCCTGAATTTTTGACTATCACTTTCAGAGCACAGATAGATTGATCATTGTCGTTCCTGGCTAAAAAGACATCGGCGAAGCCTCCTGTCCCTAATTTACGCAGAATTGTATAGTTTTCACAAGTTGCCATGAGAAATATTATATTATAACCCTTTTCCAAATTTCGGGGTTTTGGGGTTTTGGGGTTTTGGGGTTTTGGGG